ACAAACACCAGCTGTTGAAGGGGCTTTCTTGGGGCCGGGTCTTGTCCTGACAGCCATCAGGCTTGCCCTGGTTCGCCTCGCGATGGTCTCCTGTGAGTCCCGGCAGGCTCGGCTGGCCTCTCGCATGAGTGGACATGTAGAAGAGGGTTTGCAATATCAAGGCGCCCGAGCAAGGAGTTCTTGTCCATCGGAGTCATAGTGCGAATCCACTACAAGTATGTTCCATCGACTCTATGGGCAGACTCCAATTGTCGTTTGGGGCTGAGGGTGAACGCGTTCTGCCGCCTTGAGCGAATCAGGCTGAAACATGCTGCGCCTGCCTTCTTTCTACACCGGGAGGCTTACTCGCTTGCTTGAACCGTACGTGGGGTTGCTTGGGGCTATCCGAAGGTATTGACTTGAGGCCCCCAAGCGAAAGAGCCTTGACGGGCTTCGCCCACTGCTTCTGGCATCTGGGTTGGTGCCTGCCCACAACAATCCCAGCAATCAGGAAATGGGAAATATACCTTGGAGAATCGCTTGTGACGCAAAAAACTCTAGGCAAAATACAGTTTTGGCAGGTTTTGTGAACAAACCTTAGGACTCACAGGTGTCAGCACCCATGATGCTTTTGTCGCCGACCGTCTGCTACCACTCCGCCAAGGCGAGCCCATCTCCCTCTCTGGGGGGGACGTTGTCAGCCTAGTGCCTCAGGACCACCCGCCGAAGGCTACCAACTTCGTTGGGGTCCCCCTGGCTGAGACACCACTTGTGTCTGTTGCCGGGTTGACACGCCAGTCTGCGGCATTATTGCGGTTTTTCCCCGATCCGACCGCAGGAGTGAAGACCGGAAACCCGTGCCGGCTGTGCTTTGTCTTGATGCACACCCGGTAGAACTGGACGCAAATTTTCACCTTTTCGATGGGTCCTTCGTCACAAGAGAATTCTTGAAGGGGTACGTTCAGCTGCCTCCCCCACTTGGCTGGCGCCTTGCCGTTCAGGGAGGAAGGCTCAGTGCAGGTGGTTTTCCGTTCCACAACGGTGAGGTCCCCACCACCGTCTTGCCCGAATGTGATGACGATCTTGAACCTCCTGAGTCTGTGTCGGACGGCACTTTGGGACTCTCTGAGGGTCCACCTGCCTCAGACGAGTCCAGGCGATCAAGGTCGGAACGTCGCGAAGGAAAGCCTTGGCAGTACCCTTCCCACCCTGGAAGCCTGCAACCTTGAGCTCTCATGCCGCGTGGCCCCCAAGATTACTTCCCCGGAGCCTCTGCTCAACGCAGCCCGTGCGGCATGCTTCATCGAGTCCCCGCCGTCTGAGTTGATGTGGTGAGAGCTTCATCCCTGG